GGTGCTTCCACTGCTGTTTTTGACCGGATGGACTACACTTGACATAATCTGACATAACCCAAAGTGCTTCCTCTGAATGTTTTTTTCCCGGATGGACCGTACTTGGCCTGTTCATATACATTTATGGTCCTTTAGCCCTAGCCAGATATTCTTATATCTGATTCCAAGCACCTTCAAATCTGAGTATGATTGTGTCACATGCTCACGCTTGTTACATATATGGACATCTTATGTGCTGTCTGTTGTCCACAGACGGAATCTGTATAACATGATATGGTGTCTGTCTATTAAGTTCTGCCATGCGTGTCTTACTTTGTTTGTTACTGGGCAAAGAGCATACCTGTTCCAGAAGTAGTGCTATTCCCCACAGGTGTGACTCCTTTTATAATTGTGGCACACCTGTTCTTTCCCAGCGGTTGTTCTACACTTGTTTGATTACTGGCCCCCTCCACCTTTGCAATGTGGGATTCTAGCTTTGGGTGAGATGAGGTAGTGCCATTTATGAAGTTAACATTTTCTAATACTGAAATGTATTTCCAATAGGTACTTACCTCCTCTCACCCACTTCCCACCCCTTCCTCCCCACTGATTTCCTGGTGTTTCCAGTTTGTATCTGTCAATTCTTGAAAGTGAGAATTGTGCTGCAATGGTAGAGGGAAGCAAAGTATGATTGGTGTAGAGTAGTCACATGATTAGCACATGTTGCTACAATGGCACAAAATGAAGGGGTATAAAAGACTGGTGTGCTGTTGAAAAAATGTTAGCAATGCTTAGAGGGCAAATCAAGGTTGAGTTAGTATTGGGTGAGAGGAGGAGGTAAGTATCTATCAAAAATACATTTTCAGTGTTAGAAAATATTAACATTTCTTTGTATGACTTGTATAGTATGAGGTTCTGTATAACCAAAAAGTCATGGATCCACAAGCAATTTGGTACATAAGTATCTTAGAAACATGTTTTAAAAAGTAAATGGGGTCTATTGTGAGGGTGATAAAAAATGGCATTTTTAAAAACAAATTTGAAAATATAAATTGAAATGTTTAAAAATGTTTTAAATTGATTATTGTAATGTGCATGCAATGTACATAATTTTGCTCATTAATAAATAATATTTTGGTACAGGCATTTTAAAAGTAAGAACTTAAAAAGGTGTGTACACCTTTTATTTAAATTGAATGAAACACTTGTATCATGGACATTGATTTTTTAAGTTTAATTATATATATTTTATTTGTACAAAGGAGTTAATGAAGACATTTGAAATAGCTTAAAAGCTTGGGAGATCTAAAAACTCTTGAAACTTTAAATCAGTATAATGTAATGTACTCTTTGAATATTCAGATATTTGCTGTTTGAATTGAAATTAGTTATTGTTGACAATTCTCTATCCTTAATTTTGTTTTATGTTTTGGATTCATAATTTTTGTATACTGTATCCAGTAGTTATTTTTCTCTTATGCTATAAAAAAGGCCCAGTTAGAAAATAACATTAATTTACAAATCTCATTATTTGGCATATTTTGAAAGATGACAGTGAAACTTCTTTATTTGGTTTTTCAGCGTGCTAGGTAAAATCTCGTTAAATCTAAAAGCTCCACTTTAAAAGTACCCAAGTTTTCTCTTTTTGTCCAACATATTTACCAGATATGAACTGGGGAAAGCTTTCCCTTACTGTACTTTTATATTAATTGCCAAGATTAAGAATTTCTTCATTTTCATTAGTAAAAAAAAAAACCTTTAACCATGTACCTTTGATAATTCAATTCATATCAGAAACATTTTAAAAGTCATATCTTTACAGAACATAATTATTTTAAATCTGTACTAAATATCAGGTGCACTGTGTCAGTATCAAAGAATTCTCTAAACTTTATATAACTGTATGTACCGAAATATTTGATGAAAATATATTTAATTTAATCAAACACAAGTTAGAATTAGTTGCATAAGATTTTATTTGAAGTAATTGGAAAAGCCTTTAATCATAAAGAGTTTAACTACTATGGTATCTTTGTGTTTAATTTCATGTACATTGGGGGAATTAATAAACAGTGAAGGATAGACAGACTGACTCACTTTATAGAGTTCATTATGATTGTCAACAATTAAAGACAAATACTTCAGACTATTGGGACATCACTTTGTAAGTTTTAAATCTGGGTGTTAATGAACAGTGATACATATATGTATAGAAATTTAAAAAGCAGTATGTTTATTTTGAAGTACGATACATGAGGCTTTCTGATTACTAAAACCTATAATCTTAAAATATGTTCATTAATATTCAGGTAGGATCCTGCTCTGCTCATTTTACACAATGTAATATAAAATGGTGCAAAAAAACTTGTGGTAAATAAAAGCTTGATGTCTTTCATACATTAATTATTGTTTTTTCATGGATGAAGTTATTGTGAAGTATTACATATAGGCACTTGTGTATAGTTGTTGTTTTTTAAGTAAATGTATAAAATTTCTTTTAGGCATTATACAATCATAATAAATAAGCTAACAGTAAGTCCTGTTAACCATATGGTGGTCAAAGTATGCATGCCATGACCTTTTACAGAGTGCTATTCAACATGGTATGTATTTAATTTCAGTTATTAACCATTCATTTTACCTTGCATTGATGATTTAGTGATAAGTTTCTGATGGAGGAAAGCAAATAAATACCATGTAAAGGGATACTGAAGAAAAAAAACTGTAGATATGCATTTCAAAGGTTCTAGAGGTTAAGCAAATATGATATGCAAAATGTAAGATGCACAAAAGTATTTTTAATCTTCACATGAACATCACATTTCAGTCAAAGTTGGAGGCAGACTTACACTGTCAATTCAGAGACGTATCTTAAGTGCAAATAGTTTTGTAACACATCTCATTTTTTCTATACAACAGACTTGTACATTTTACTATGAACTTGCCACATTTGATGTAGATACATGTAGTAAGTCTGATAAATACTCAGCTATATATATTTAAATTTAATATGATAGTTATGATTTAGATAAGTATCAAGCATGAGTGTTAAGTTTAGTATTTTCAGAAGCGATAATTTATTGTAGGTTTGCTTATGTAACTGTTTACGAATCAGTTGTTGTGAATTGACGTCATGATACTCGAACCTTTTGAATTTTTCTTGTTGCTTTAAGTGAGTATTGTTAAATCATAACATATTTTGTAGGTAGAAAGTTCTAGGCCTCTGTTGGGCAGTATGTATATACGTGACCAAGTTAGTGAGAGTGAAAAAAGTAAAGTTAGTATCACAGCTTGTAATAACAGATAAAGAAGAAGAATTTGTCTTGTCAATTGTGTTCTAAAGTAATTGAACCCACCTATGTGGATTTTGATGAAAATGAAACAATTATTTAAAGCTTTGAATACAACTGTGGCAACCAACAGTTGTAGTGACTACTTTTAAGGTGTAATAATTGCAGATTGTATTGTAAAACAGAGACGAGAAGAATAAATCATCTTGTCAGTTGAGTTCTAACGTAACTGAACCAGCCTGTGTGGTCTTTTGAAATAAAAGAGAGGATTATCTAAAGCTCTGGATACAACTGTGGTGATTAACTCTGTAATGAACATTTGTATATATGTTTGACTTGTTTTGAATATATTATTTTAAAACAAGTGTATTGTTTTCTGTCTGTTTATTGTTGAAATTTATCACCAACAAATCACAGATACCTACTTTAAAGAATCCTGCCCCTATACAAAAACATAAAAACTTGACAATACTGTAAGTATAATTGCACATTTTTATGTTCTATAAACTTATTGTGCACTGGGATTAAACTAGATATTGAATTATTGATTTATTGACTGATTTATTGAATATAGGCAATATATGTATCTACATTGAACTTTAATACGTTTTATTATCTAAATTGCTGAAAATGAAATGAGCTACATTTTTCATCCTCCCAAGAACTAGAATTTGGATTGTATTATTGTAAGTTTGTCATAATTAACAATTTTATATATATTTATCACTAGTTACTTTCTACTGTTTTAGCTTCTGTTTGCAGGCTGAAAGTTTTGTAGCTTTTATATATCTGGGTTATAGTTTGAGTACTTTAAGGCATCTTAGTTCAGTTGATTAATGTTAAATTATACATTGCATTTTACACAGTTAATTTTTAGTTACTTAGTGAATGAACTGGAAATGACATAAAGAGTTCTGTATATGAAAAAAGTTATTGTTATTAAAGTTATCAAAATTTGTGAATTAATCTTCTTGAACAAAGTAACATTTCTGTTTTATTGAATTTATCTTTCACCAAAACTAATTTTTCAGCAAGTCATCTGTTCTCAGATAATTTTCTTGTCAAATATAGTTCTTGTGAAATAACAACTTGGAAATTTCAATTTTTACGAAAAATATTCAAGCATAAATGGACACTTATAAAAATAAAATTTAGCTATGTGCTCACCTAAAAAAGTATGTGTAAATAAAAATAAGAACTGATGAAATATCTTTACAACAAAAAATATCTAATACCTAAGTGAACTGTTTAATGAGTGAATGAGTTTATTTATAATCAAATATAAAGCAATTCTCACATTGCTATGTAAAATATGAACTAAAAAAAGTAAGCATAATAAAATGAAAAGAACAAAGAATCAGACTTTTAGCTGTTAAAACATTAAGTAAGGTAATTATGAAATAAGCATGGCGATGAACAATAATATACACCTACACTTCTGTGAGAGGAATTGTAATATTTTTATTTATATTTAATATTAATACTTTATTCAGAAACATACTTGGTTTCAGTCAATACAGTGCTTGGCTGCATTATTGGAAATAGAAAAAGTTTTATAAAAGATGTATGTATTTTGATATGTGAAGTACAACTATGGAATAGAATACTTACTGTGTAAATTTATTCAAATATTTTGAGCTACATTTAGATTAAAGGCATATGAAGTTTGAGTTGCTCTATTAGGAAATTAAAACTATTATATAGTCTTAACATCTGACTTTGTCATTACAGAAATTCCCTCAAATTGTTAAAATTTCTGAACAACTGAATATAAGCAATGGCAAAAAGAACAGCAACATATAAGCGCACTCGAGATACTTCTGAAGAAGAGTGTGGACGAGAAGAGGTTAATGTGCTTCAACAGGCAGAAACGAGTGAGATAAAACAAGTCATTAAGAAAACTAAAAAACAAAATATTGAAAGTGATTCGGTAAGGAACATGTCTATTTTAACCAAGTCAGGCATAGACTAGCGGTTAGCATATCATTTGTGAATCTGGGGGTCCATGGATTGAATTCCATTGCCAAAATTCATTTTCTGCATTTGGGGTCTATGCAGGGCTTAATGAACTAAAATGGTTACTGCTTTTTCATGGATTTAGAAGAAAATTGTCACCTAAATTTCTTTTATGAAAAATCAGCAAAAGTTAATAAATAGAATGAAAGGGGGGGCCCAATTATATTACTAACCCTAGGGCCTGGGCTCGCTCTCGACCCCCCTGGGTCTGTGAGTTCATTATGATTATGGTCAAATCCTAATATTAAGTTAGAGTATCCCAAGAGTTAGCAATGAATTTTATTGACTAATTGCCTATCCTGTTGCCTTTCAGCCTAAAATTGGGGATGGCTAGCATATTTAGCTCTTGAGTATCTTTTGGCAAATATTCATACATAAAATACATACAATTAAACCATCCCATCCAGTATACTAAGTTCTAAAACATACTTACCTCTTCTCACACTACAGCTATAGTTGACTTGTAGGGTTCCTTCCTTTACCAGTCTAAGCATTGGTCTGATTTCATCTTGCTTTCTCCATTCTTTTATTCCCCACTTAATGGCCCTTGACAATATCTATTTTGTGACACTCTCCACCTACATCAGTGCACCCTCTATCCTGGTATTGTATATAAGCACCTCTTTCACATTTTCTCAACAAAGCATCCACTAACAGGATTCTCTGTACTACGACCATTGGAAATACTTTGAGCATTCTTCATGTTGCCTAGCTGTCTTTCCTTTAAAAAAAACAATTAGTTTCGCAAGCTGATATACAGTATGAATACCCAGATTATTGTTTCTGGCACATAGACAAATCAAGTCTCTTCTATCCCATCTCTGACACTCTCGGTTGAGGCTGTCCATGACCTTATTCGTAGTGAGAAGGAGATTTATATTCAGTCTGGTGGTGTCTCTCCAGGGGCCTCTGAGGCTACACTTGTGGGCAATCATGGACATTCTGGAGAGAATTTAGTTTCACTTTTCCTAGCACCTTTGTATATTCTGTTGGCTTCTCAGGAAGCCAAATTGAAATCAACTGCTTCTGGCTCCTTTTCTTCAGTTGGTAAATTGAGTGTGTGATGTTTCAGTTTTTCCCCAGTAGTTTTTGAGTCTTCACCTTCCTTGATGGTATAAATGTCTGAGGCGAATACTTAGTTCTCCCTCCATTCCCTGATATTGTAGTTCCTGCAGGAAGGTTTACTGCTTAGTTACAAGAAGGAACAGCTATGCCTTGTCTGCCATGTTTGTTGGAAAAACATGCTTTAGCCTACCATCACCAGGTGGATGCATATTTAGACTCTCAAAGAATAGATCCGATCCTGGAAATTTGAGGTTCTAGAATGGAGTCTGTGGTCATCCTGAAAAGATCACACTTTTCTAGGACTCGTTTGACCCTAACTACAGTGCTAAGATATTTATCATCCCTCCAACTGTTGTCAGAAGCCTCTCAATGATCTCCACATCAATTTGATGACACGTTAGGATCATTGTTAGCATCTACCTTGGTGTGATTGTCAGTTTCTGCATGTTCCCTAGTCTCTTGGCTGTTATGTTGTCAGGATTTGTGGGGTAGAAATGCATTGTTGGAGGGCATTCTTATTAACAGGTTGCCACTCTCCGTGAGTTATGCGAGGCCCCCTTTCTCCGACCCTTGATTTTTGCAGCCATTTCAGAGGCTTTGGAATCAAGGTTTAATGTCACCCGTCTGCATTCATCTCTGTCGTCATTGGTTTCTCGACTTTCCGACCCTATTTGAGTGTCCCAATATCAGCCCTTCAGTCCATTGGTACCCAGAATAGATTCTATCCATATCCACAAGGTTCCTCTGCTTGGTTGGAATGTCAACAGCGGTGATGGTGTTACCATGTGCCTTTGAGGTCTGTGTAGGCTTGGCTCCGAGAATTTCTGGATGTGTGGAAAACCTTTACTCTAGATCCATGGGTACTACAGATCCTTGAGTCAAGATTACTCATTCAGTTCACACCTTCTCCATCATTATCCACCCAACCTGTAGTGTTTCTACCTCCTGTAGATCCTCAGATTTTGGAACTTTGTTCCAGGTTATCAGAGATTTGTTAGTCAAGGAGGCAGTGGAGAGAATCATCCCAGTTCTTTCAGGGTTTTATTCCCATCTGTTTGTTGTGCCCAAAAAGACAGGAGCTTGGCATCCAGTCATTAATCTTTCTTGTCTTCATAAATTCTTAGATCATTTAAGGTTCACAATAGGATCATTCCTCACTCTGCATTGGCATTTTTTATCAGGACTGTGGATGACCAAGTTTGATGTTGCCAATGCCAATATGCACTTTCCCATAGTGGAGTCGTCCCTTCACTCTCTGCATTTTGTACACAAGGGTCAGGTGCTGCAGTTTACCGCTCTGCCTTTCAGAGTATCAGCATTGTGTACCATTGCAAACAATTTTAAAATCTCACAATTTAAAACAATTTGCATGTAGTGATGCTGTGCGAATGGGTATTGCACCCTGATCCTGAACTACACCTGGGATGTGCACATATACCTATGTTGACTGAGACAGTTTTTAGGACTTCTACTTGACTATAAGAATACTTTCATTCCTCATGTCAAGCAGCTTAAAGTCAAATATATGAAAACACTGAACATCCTTCACATCCCCTCTTCCACCTTTTTGGGAACAGATAGATGTTTTATGCTCAAGATCCATCGTGTCCTCATTCAGTCTAAACCGGACTATGTGTCTCTAGTCTATCCTTGGTCAGGAACTCTGCACTGAAGATGTTACACCTTGTAAGTTATCAGGAGTTTAACAAACTTTTCCAGTACAGAGTTACTACTCAGAGACTTAGAAACTATCACTTACCTTCTAACATATGCTACAAAGCTCCATTCACTGTGGCAGTGTGTTTTAATGCCTCATTGGGTCTTCGTTTTTGCAAATAGATGAGCTGATTTCCCAACCTTTGGTACTTGTATACAGGCAAAATTGACTGAGATGGGTCTGACATTGAATTACAGTGCAGAATCTGATGATCAGTCATTCGAAGTAGATGGATACTCCTGACTGGAAGCACTGACTTTTCTTTAATGACCACCTTTCAAGCCATCTGGCCATTTTAGTTTTTACAGATGTTTCAAAATCATGTAGTTCTGTGGTTTAATGTAGCTCAATAGTTACTCAGAGTTTCCCTTCTACATGTTCTGTGTTCAAAGCTGAGTTGTATGCAATCTCATTTGTCCTGTATTATACAGAAGTGAAGTAGTAAACTAGTGATGCCATTTGTACCAACTCACTTAGTTCTTTGAAGACCCTGGAATCACTTATTGTTAGTTCCTACCCAGTTCTCTATCCAGTTTTTCTGCATTCCTGGCAATTTCAAAATTGAAGAGAATTAGCTTGCTGACATTGTGGCCAATTCATCCTCCATGGTACTGGTGATGTTAATGCTTTGCCTAGTCCTTATGTGTAATATCAACCTGCTATCAAAGCAAAACTGTGTGCCAGATGGCAGGCCATTTGGATGAGCAATTTAAGAATAAACTTTTCCAGATTAAGCATACAGTTACTGATTGACTTGTCTGTTTTGCACAGTAATTGAGAGGAGGAAATTTACCTTGAAAGGCTTTGAATTAGCTGTAGTTTTCTTACACACCATTTTCTCTTGCAAGAAAGCTACCAAACAATGTGACCCTCAATTGCCTATGTTTTACTCTTATGTTGTTACAACAGTGATCAGTAGTAACATTTTTTTAGACTTATTCACACTCTTAGTGTCTATAATGATATTGTCTATGAAGATATGTTTTGGGTGTGAAATAAAATTCATCCAGCTTCCTCAACCTGTGGCCAAATAAAAAAAAAACTATGAAAGAATATCCATACAGTGTTTTGGTAATAGGAGGCTTAATGCTGCAGATTACTATAAAATGGTTACATACCATATTATTGATTTTGCATGTATTATCTGAAAAAAGCAAACTATAAAAATGAACTCTTATGTGTGGTATTCTCAAGTGATTTGATTTCCCTTAAGAGTATTTGTGTAGGATCTGCAGCATAACAGGAGGTTTGTTCAGGAAACGTATCAAGGGGTATATCTAAATTCTATGACTTTGAGTGAGTTGGGAAAGTAAAAGACCGGATACAGGGTTTAAAAATGTGAAACAATTCATTTATTCACCAAAACAATCAAAGAGAGTGAATGTCACAAAGGACAGTACTTTTACTGGAGGCTTGATAGCTCTCAATGGAGAAGTAAATCTCTTTAAATCTTTGTAAATAAATGTAGAGCTGTTCCAGACTGAAAGAAAAAAAAATTATATACATGAAACAGTAATGTTATCCTTTTCCAGGGTATGTTCCAGGGCATTCCCACTGAAAAATAATGGAAGTTATATTTTCAAGGTATCATATGTGCTTTCTGGTGGGTAAAATTTCTGTAAAGTAAAACATACTAATGTGAAAGTAGACAGCAGTCTTTTACCACTGGTAAGTCAGGTGATACCTTGGGAATACAACCTAAGTGAATGACCCAATTCAGTGTGTAACTAGGGCAAAAGAAACTTAGCTACTTTCTTGACCAACATTATGTATTGAAATTACAGACTCATATATGTAAACAAATTCTGAAAAATAGATGCTATTTAAGGGAGTGGAAACATAGTATGCCTGCATACTACAGATGTATAAGCATCAAATTTGTAATTTTTTCTTCAGTAATATTGCAATGTATACTTTCTTTTTTTTAACTTAGTTTTATTTTGTCCTTACCCAGTACACTATTCTAAGGAGTTTTTGTTTTAATCTGCTTTTATGTTAGACATGTTGAATTTAATCATTTACAGTTGTAAACCTTTCCTAGAAGTTATAAAAAAAAATTTCTCACTATATTAACAATTTAATTTGATTAGTATTATACACTTATATTCTGTCATAGTTCTGTTATGAAATATTTTGTTTACTTTAAGAATTACTTATATTAATGCTCAAACATTAAGACCTAATGTTTAATTTTTTCAGGCCACTAGTTCTGCAAACTCATTTTCTCGTTTTGGTGGTTATGGTGTTGAATTAATGCCTTCAGTTACTGTTACAATTAGGTTTCTTTCTTATACAAATTCATCCATTGGGCTAACTAATAGTACAGATCTTTCACAAAAATCTTCATCCATAGAAGAAGAGTGTTCCAAAGATGGTAATACAATTCCTCCTCCTTTAATAACTTCAAAATTGCCACAGGACTCAAAACCTTGTGTAAGAGAAAATAAACAATTTTCTCGGGATATTCAGTATTACAAACTTCTGAAAACTCTGAATGAAAATTTTTCAGAATGGATTAAAAATTGCCTTGGCAAAAGCCCTTACTGTAATTTTATACCAGCATTTGAGGATTATGAAAATTATGTCACAGAAATAGAGAAGAAGTATCCTGTTCAAAACTCTCAAACAGAAACAACAAATGTACGAGAGGGTACATTATCTGGCATACAGTTTTCTTCTAAATCCACGATTGATGGACATGTAACAAAACATACTTTTAACTCTGGATCTAAGGCTACCAAAACAGAAGGTAGGTTTATAATAATATTTTAACTTAGTGGTTAGATTGAAATTGTTTTTATTTAAAGTGTTTTTTTATGCTATAATAAGCCTAAACTGTTATGACATATAGACAGTAGCTCCTAACAATGACAAACATGTATTATATAGAGAGAATAGCTATTTTTCTTTGGTGACACTCTAGAAACTATTGGAGAGAGACCTATGAAGTTTTATTATATATATTCAAAACACAGTAATACCAAAAAGTATCTTTAATATGAACATTTCAGAATTTCATTAAATTACATTGTTAGCCTTAATATCTCACAAAAAGTTTGTTCATAACATTCAAACTACAAAAATTAACATTGAGCGAGTTTTTGTATTCAATCAGAAGCATAGAAAGAACAGACTTAAAAGACAACAATATAATGGAATGTACAATAAAATATGCAACATATATATTTAATAAATAACATTTTCATAGAAACTAGAAAGGCTTAAATATAAATATAAACACTGTATCTTTAAAATAATAATAAATATCAAATAAGAACACTGATAATCCAGAATTGATTACATTAATGACAACAGGGAGGAGTTGATATTATTATTTAGTGTTGGGTGATCATTGAAAATGGAGAGGCTTTCTTTAATAAAACAAGTTTGTAATCTGTGGTTCTGGAGTCCAGAATTTTTTCTAGAGGTATGGGGTGGTTGTTATTCTCACAGTGCAATCGATACAAGACTCAAATGGATTAGTTAACGTATATCCGTTTATTGCTGAAATTCTTGTGTACTCATGTAGATGTATTTGTAGGTGGTGTGTAGTTTTACCAATATAGTAGTTTACAGCTTCCACAACAAAGAAGAGTTAGAGAGAATCTGATTGAGGTGTCTAAAATTTTTAAGGGAATTGATAGTGTCAGTACATCATCTTATTTTTACATACTTCATGGTGGGAATGGTAGGACTAGGGAGCAAAAAAAAAGCTAAGACAATTTTATTTTTGTAACAGGCTGATTGACCTGTGGAATGGATTGCCTTTGGTTGTGGTGGAAGCGGTGAATTTAAGGGAAAGCTTGATAAATATTTACATGTTATGGGCTGGCTTTGGGTTGTTTTTTTTTAAGTGTAGTGGATGGGATAGCCAAGTTATCATTAAATGTTATGTTAATAGTAGACTTCAACTTCATTTTATATTACCCTGCGCAATAATATATAACAAAAATTATTTTTATAGATGAAGTGAGTTTTTGAGCATCTTTACATAGTTCTTTACTACTGTAGTTTGAGAACTATTCACTGATTGGCTCAACATTTGTTTGCCACAAGATAAATATTTGAGACAAAGTATTTTATTCATGTATACATATTTACATAATAAAAGTAATTCTTTTTGTTATTTTTTTTTTATTATTTAAAAGCATGAATTGTAATATTTTTTTACTTTCATTTAAGTTTTGGTCCAATAAAACGTGCCTTAATTTTGTCATTGCACTTTTGTTTTTGAAGTACACTTTTTATTATTAACAAAAACTTAAATATGCATCAGGTAAGTTTAGTCCACATATCAGTGTCATAAGTGATGTCTTTTGTCACATAATGTACATTAATGGTATTAAAATTTTATTCTATCTGGCAAAATTGAGGAGCACTTACATAAACCATAGGATTCATGGAATATATTAGTTAACAAATAACATGTGAAAGTTGTTTTAACCTGTCATTAACTGTAGTCTCAAGCTGCTTATACTTTTAATGTTTATATCAAATGATTGACAAAAAGTAAAATTAAAAGGGCTGCATCCTACATCTTATGTGCATAGGAAGTGAACCATCTTTCACACTAAGCATTTTTTATTGGGTAGAGGGGAAGCTAAGGCACATTTTGGAATAGCTTCAGCCCCATCAAGCCCCTGTTACACCTGTCACTTGCAACAGTCTCTTATTGTTAGATGACAAGTTTCATAATATCATTTCATTAACTTGACAGTAATCAAAACTAGCAGATGCTCTATTCCAGTTTCATCACTTCATAATGATCATAGTGGCTTTTAGCCATCCATGACCTAAGTCATTCATGCTGTAGCTTCTTGTTTGAATTTATTTTTCTACATGATTTGTTGTTAATATATGTTTTTATATATAAATATTCTGATGCTTTATGAAGTTGTAAAATGTCATGTATTACTAATCTTCAATGAGCAGCATCCATGCAAGCTTTAAAGGTGAATGTGATATCTTATTAGATGCAACATGAAGTTATAAATATTACTACAGGATTAATATTTTTGATGTTTTTACCATTCAGGTCCAAAAAAGGAAAATGCAGTTACTTTCAAACTTTTCCCACCAGTGTCATCCACAACCTCAACGAGCACATCTAGCTTTGGGTTTAAACCAACATCATCACCAACAAATTCAGTCAGTGGCAAGTCATTGTTTAGCTTGGACAATGATGAGGCATCATCTTCTGCCTCAATCACTAATGTATTAACTTCTACTACTCCATCTTCGGCAGGATTCTCCTTCAAGACTTGTGATGGTTCAACTACTTCAGACAGAGTCAGTAAACCACCACCTGTCCTCTTGACAACTAAAAAGTGTGCAGTACAGGAATTAAGGGGTAATAACGTAAAACTCCATATGGTTTATCTCTGTTAGACTGTAAAAGAAATCGTATTGAAATTAAATTTGCAATAAGAAAAGTCCTGTGCACATGTATATGTGCTCGTTTCTTCCATGTCATTGTAATTCAAATTTCTGTCTGAATCTGTTTATTTCTTATGCATATTTAGATCATAACCACCAACATTTTAAAATGAAGATGCATTACTGTCTGATTATTATTCATTTTGAGTTACTGAATGTAAAAAGTTTTTCAACCAACTTACCAACATTATCTCATGGATTGTGAAGATATTCCTACCTGACTAGATTTTATGCTACTAGCATTAGATCTTTAGGTAATGAGGATGTCTCTATTCAATATTTGAAACCGAACATGAATAATTGCTAAGTGTCTTTCTAAAGCTTATAACTTGTTTTGAAAATAGTTTTGCTTTTAATAAAAGATATTAGGGACAAAACAGTGCATCAAAAAACATAATTTTACTGTGTTACGTTATATGACAAGCTACTTGTGCAACAAAGAGAGATTAACTTTCCTGTCAACAGTTATTTTATTATAAGTTTGTCTTCTTTACAAATTATTTGAAGTTTGATATTTTAAAGTAACTTTGAATAATATTTTATAATAATTACTTTAAAAGTCTAATACAGATTTCTTTTTAAGTATTTGTTTTGTTTTTCACTGATGTTACTACTTGCATCTATAAGAAATTTTAGTATTTGTGGCTTTGTTTACAACTTTATGGTAGAAAACATAATTAAATGTGAAGTAAACTAAGTAAAATAAATTACCACAATTCATTTAATTCCCTGTAACCTGTCAGTCTCCTGCTGCCATAGAGTTGACACATAGATAATTCAGCATCAAAAGTAACCACTAAGGAGTCCACAGAAAGAGATTATTCAAGTGACTCAGTTTTTCACATAACTTTAGTACAATAGTGGTGTTATATTATGGTTAAGTGACTTCTGTGAGGAAGACCTGCGTATCTAATTATTTTGTAACATTATCTGGACTATAAGGTTTTTTACAGTTACAGTTGGCATTTGTAACATTTTATCTTTTTTTCTAAAAGCACGTTATACAAATTGGTAAGGTCAATAAAATTTGTAGCTATATGGTGATTATACTCAGTGTTTAAAATAATTATTTTGTTTAGTATAAATTGTTGGTTAGGTATATGAATCACCCAGCATCAGCAAAAATTGTTTAGCAAATTTTCTTTAGAGCAATGTTGCTGAAATAGGCTTGAAAGGAAAGTGGTTTACTAACACAAGTACTTGTTATTGAGTAAAAAAAGCTCTAAATGTAATATATATTATATTATCCACTCTATCTAAGTATTTTATATCCAGCCTTACATTTCTGTTGTATTAAAGCACAGTCCACAAATAATTAAATATTCAAAAAATAATTAATTCATTTAATTTTTAATATACTTATTAAGTACACAACAGTTTAGTCCCTTAGCATTAAAAGAGCTAATGATTTTGTTAAATTATGTGTTGCCTTTAACATTCAAGTTATATGTAAACTTAGTGTATAAACAATGGCATACACAGTGATGATTTTAAGCTTTCATGGCAGCATAAATATTTGAAATTTAAATAGCTTATAGAAAACAACAAAACTATATATTTTCAAAAAATGAAGATTGTTGATAAAAAAAATTTAAATGATTTAACTGAAACAAATGTTCTGTAAAACTGTTTATATATATATATATATATATTATATTATACTTTTATGAAATTTAAGACACTGTTTCCACAAACATGAATTAACAAGTGGTGTGATATGTATTTTTTATTTTACACTTTTATTGTCCATAACTGATTTTCTTTGTTGCATTTCAGTGACTTAGATATGATTGAAAAGAAATCATTTCATAATTTGTAACTTCACATTCTATTAACTACTTTTCACTCATACTCTTCCACTATATACATTCACACTTAAGCTATTGTTCATAGGCCATAGACTTTAAAGTTTTATTGTTATTATGAAGATGTTAAATACTTTAATAGGTTTATTGTTTCAAAGATTCTGTGTTCAAATGGTTTCATTAAAACATTTCAATCAGTATTTTTGTGACAGAATTTAAAAGAAAAACTAGAATTGTTCATCTGTACTTTACAAATTGATTGGTAACTTAGAAGTCCTGACCAGTTTCAAATTCTGTAGTCTAGTCATCAATGCTATTGCCATAGTTTTCAAAGCACTGCTTGATAAATGTAGAGAGAATAAATATTTATTTGTTTATATAAAGCATTTTATTAAAGATTTTGGGTTAATTCTTAGTAAATAAATAATAATGCAGAGCGAAGCACAACCATATAAAGTCCTAATTGCACTCCTGTTTTGTTTTTCTGCACATTTCCTATTCTGCGTTTATTTTGCCAGTCATAATAATAAGTAGTTGATAAGCTTCAGAATTTTAACAACATTGCCTGTCAAAGAAATGTGCTCTTAGTTTGATTAACAATATATCTGTTGTATATTTACTTATATATTATCTTCAAATATTTCAGAAGCTGCTCCTCACAAGATTAAATATTCACAGGCTGAAGGGAATGATGCACTGTTTTCAAAAAGGTGTGATGAGAACTTCTATACCATAATTTAAATCTTAACAAGAAATATATTATTCTGTGTTTTTAAAACTATTCATGTCATTTGGTATAAGACCCTCAGATAAACTTAGTACAAAAATTAAGTCGTTTAAAAAAAATTATAAACATTCACAGACTATTCCTACTGCATAACAAGTATAAAACTATTGATCCCAACAGTATAATCATTTAAAAGTAATTAAAGTAAAATATTATGTTTCTTAATATTACTTTACTACATCTAATAGTAATTTATGTATAGTCCACGTTTTGTGTATTGTAGTAGACATATCATAGATGTGCTTAAACCTGTTAGCTTAAAGACCCAATGACTACAAAATTTGTTTAAATCTATTTATGAAAAATATGTCTATAACAGAAGTAATTTAATTAGTGTAAGAGGTGGCACAGCAATACTTATTCAAATGTAATTTAACTTATATTTCAAACAATGCCCTCTTTTCTGAATACAATTTTCAGTGAAAGTTTGTTTTTATAAAAGCGTTAACATGCCATCAAATTGCAGGAAAAGTTTTTCATAATATGTTACTTTTGTCATGTATTATGTTATCTCCTCACTGATTGTATTCAGGCATGTACACTGTTCCGTGCATAAACAAAAAAAAGTCAAGCTGAGCTGAGGTTCTTTGGTAAAGGTTTTTTAGAAAATGTGGAAAATAGGCATGCTTCTTTCACATTTATTGAATCTCATTTTGAAATCTATAAATACACAGTAAAAATGTGTCCTAAAATCGGTAACAACTATAAAATCTAATCTTTAAAACTTACTTCAATTTAAGTTTACTGTTTAAGTTTTTTATTGTTAGCATCCATTTTGCACTGGGTGGGCATTATTCTAACTCTTAAAGCTGTTTAAATTTACATTAAGATTATTTGTTAATGTAGTTATTCAGGCAAAATGCCTTCTCATTTTCATATTTCAGAGATGTCGAAAGTAAGTTTATTACTGAAGCATTAAATTATCATATTTTATTTAAACTTGAAATATCAAACAGCTAAAACTGTTGCTGTTGAAGCATACATTTCACATTATAAAGTAAGATCATGGCACATGAAAATATAAATCACTAACAGCAATCATGACGTATAGCGTATAAAAAAGTGTTGTATTAATATAACTTTTGTCAAAAATATTATTGAATTATCTCTTTCTAATAAATTTACAAATAATAATACCTAAGACACGCTTCAGAAATGTAGATTTTCACATATTTATAAACGTTCATAAATATCAGATTAAATAATTTTTAAATTTGATAATAAATAAGTTATTGCTTTAACTTTATTAGAGCAATATTTTAAAAATTGTTAAATCAAAAAAAACTGTCAGTGATGTGCAGTGTTAGTTTTTGTGTGTTTAAACTCATAGTTACTTGTCATAATTATCAAATTTTGAAGAATTATAGAAGTGTCTGGCTTTTGAAGTTCCTTAATCAGCTTTTAAAAGAAACATTTTCAAAAAGAATGACACTACAGAATACATTTTTGACCATTCATGTAGGCATATGTATTAGAGGAATGTAGAAATTTTTGCATGATGACATTTAAAGAAAAATCAATATTTTGTCTTCTTTTTTTTTATATTTGGGAAGTAACACTACATATTTTAAAACTTTACTTAATGTTTAATATCCTTGAATCTTAAAAATGTGTCACATTTATGACTGTATCTATATATTATTTCAGGTGTAAGTTATTCTGCAAAAAAGGTAATTGTTACAAGGATGAAGGTATAGGAATACTCTGCATAAAAATGGTTCAAGGGAAGTCACGGCTACTAATAAGAGCAGACAGTAACTTAGGTAAGCTTTCTTGTTACAATTATTATAGTATTTTTGCATTTAGAGTTGAGTATGATATCAGCTGATTGGGATATTTAGAACTTTTAATTTTGGAACACCCTTACCTCTTCTCTCACTTTAGCTTTATCCAGACAAAAGGTTCTCTTCTTTGCCCATCTAAGCATTGGTATGAATTCTACCTTGCTTGATCCAGTCTTTATACCCCACTATATTGTCCCTAGTGATTTTAATCTTGTGACTCTCTCCACCTACATCAGTGTGTCGTCTATACCTAATCCATATTATAAGCTCCACATTATTTTTTCTTACTCACCTTTTCTCGATGGCAAAAATTATGAAGACAGTCTTACGTGTTTTTATTCAGTGCTATTACTACATTTGCAACTTTTCTTTTGAATTATATTAGATCTTTTTTTATGGAGCGTGAGTTTATTGTTTATTTTCGTGATTTTAGGATAAAAAAAAGTTTAGGGGATTTTTATTCTTGACTGTTTGGAGTACCAAAAAAGATGGACAATTGGTTACCAGTCATCAACCTTTCTTGTCTCAATTGCTTCCTCCAGCATCCTCGGTTTACAATGGAGTTGTTTCTTTCTCTTTGATGGCTTTTTTTTTTTTTTCACCTGGACTATGGATGACAAAATTCAACATCTTAGCTGCCTACCTTCATATCCTGATCTCAGTCTTCAAGGCATTATCTCTGTTTCGTATTCTACCATTCAGTCTTGCATCTGCTCCGTACTTTTTTGCTGGATAGTCAGAGCATTTTCACGTCATCTTCATTCCATCAGCATTCACACTCACCATTATGCAGACGACTGTCCTCTTCTTGCCCCTTCCCCCCATTTGGCAGAATTGTACTCTTTATTCCACTCAAGGAGAAGAGGGCAAAGCTAGATACCCTTAACCCTGGATGTCTGGTGGGGAGCCGGACCTGCCCACGTGGGAGCCTCCTTGTAATTCCAGTTCAGAGATAACACTTCACTATCTTGTTGTATAAGTGTGGCCCTTTTTTTTGGTGATTCTGTTGCTTCTAATGATCAGGGAACAGGGTCCTTGACTTCTCATAATTCCGTACATTGAAGTGAGGTTTTTTTCACTTAGATGTTGCTTGCCTTCTCTTCGTAATTCCAATTCCTCAACATGCAACATCCTGTAACTTTCAGGTTGGGTTCCCTTCTTATCATATTCCTACTATACAATTATATCATATTGTGGTTCCCATGCCCTTGCCACTATAATTCCAATGACGGGACGTGGAACCTGATCTGTATGGTTGGGACCTGGACAAATCTCATGATAATGAACAATCTTGACTCTGTAGCTGGTTAGCCTCTGCTGCCTGCATTTAGATTTCACTGTATCTAGGTGAAGAAAATAACTGTTCCATAAATAGTGCAGACACCCACTAGTGTGCCTTATTATATCTCAATTTTGCACACTTGTTTTTCTATGCAGATGCTTTCTGTGTGGATCTTGCCTTCACCAGCCCCTCCCCCTTCTCAGTGTGGGATTCTAGCTAAAGTGGGAGAAGAGGTAAGTTTACATTTTCCTATACCAAAAATGTATTTCAATAATACTTACCTCCACTCACACTTTAGCCTTATCTAGACTGAAGGTTCTAGTCTTTGCCCATTTAAGCATTGGTATGAATTCTACCTCACTTGCTGCAGTCTTTATAGCTCACTATATGACCCATAGTGATTTAAATCTTGTGACTCTCTCCACCTATATCAATGTGCCCTCTATACCTGATATAAGCTCCCTGTTGTTCTTTCTTATTCACTTTTTCGAGACTGGCTAAATTATCAGATCCAAACACCAGCTATCTTGGGGAGGAAGGGTGGGAAAGTGAAAGAGGAGGTATTAATGGAAATACATTTTCGGTATAGGAAAATGTAAATTTTTTGGTTAAAACGCTATGAAACAGTCTGTACAAAAACACAGAGTATTATCAGAGATTGTAAATTTCTTACATGATCTATACATTAATAAATCCTAAGTATTGAATAAAAAAGTCTACAACTTGAATTGTGCCATTTTTATGATAATTTTCTGAAGTACACTTTAATCCTGCTTGAAAATATTAATAGTACATAACAAAACTGTCATTCTAATGTATACATATTTGTAAATAATTAGGAAAGTTGCTGTACTTTGTCCAAATGTAGTTTCTTAATCTTCAAGACCGTGAGGAAATACAACATGAATGTTATTTTAGTTTCTTTTTGACTAGGTTTTGTATGTATTAAGGCTTAGGGCAATGTTATACAGCATCATGTCATATTGTTTTTTAATTAATTTAAGAATTTGGATTATTCTGTAATACAAATATCTGTTGATTGTTTCTTGCAAAGTCCTGATATGTGCCTTATTGCTATTTTCTTGTGGTAAGAGTTTTCTCACATGCTATTGTAAAGCTAACTTCTTCAAAATTGGTGTAAAAGTTCAAAAAATATTTTAAAACTATAAGATAGGATAATGGAGGATCAGAAAGGTGTTTTGGTGGACTGAGTGTTTAAATGTAAGTAATATGTAAGAGCCTGCAATGATCCTCTAGAAATTGGTGCTAATAGGCTTTAAACTAATAGAGAATTTCATTACGTACATGTTGGTATGGAAGATGATGTTCATAGCATTTGATAATTTTTTCATCTTAAATAGCTTATTTAGAAAATAATTTGAATTATCATTACTTTTGGGCATTCTGTTTTAGTATCTTGTGTATTACTAGCTGGAGTATCCATCCCCTGGACAGAAGTTATGTAAATTCATG